CTTGTCTTTATTTAGAGGCCCATTGGGCACTGCTGGCTATACATTCTTCAATTCTTCTATCAATTTCTTATGGACGTGCACGATAACATGTCGATTCTAGACAAGCATTAGATACAGCGTTCAATTCTACACAGAATGACACCAGATTCGAGGAATTATCCGCCATCACTTCATCGCACTTTTTGGGGAACAGAAGGAGTGCATCGAGCCGACGTCGCATTTTAATACAATGGGTGCGTCCAGGGCGGCGCGCGATGTGTGCATATTTATTGCTTTTGCCAACAAGCAAGGCAATAGTAAATTCAATCTAGAATCATGTTTGGTACTAAATTTAACGGGCTATTCAATGCTACTAATAAATCGAAGAATGAAAATAACATCTCGTCGCAGATTTCAATTTGCTTATTCGTTAATATTTCCCAGGTTACCTATTCGGCATTGCTGGCCTGGAAACAATAATCTTCGAGTTCGCACCAAGTTTTCATATTGATGCGCACAATGAAATGTAGATTCTAGATGGCTGTTCAATAAAATGCTCAATTCTACACAGCATGGCACTACCGAAAAGGATAAATCGGCTATCACTTCTCCGCACTATTTGTGCAACAAAAGGATATTGCACATTTTGCGATGGGAGCGGGGCGCCGCCGGGAAATATGCATGCCAATTAATTGTTTGGTGCCAATAAATAATGGGATAGTGCATTGGTTCTGGAATCGCATCTGGGAACACATTTTACGGGCTATTCAATAATACTGATTATTCGAAGAATGAGCATGATATCTCGTCGCAGATTTCATGTGTCCTACTTGTCTTTATTTAGAGGCCCATTGGGCACTGCTGGCTATACATTCTTCAATTCTTCTATCAATTTCTCATGGACGTGAACGATAAAATGTCGACTCTAGACAAGCATTAGATACAGCGTTCAATTCTACACAGAATGACACCAGATTCGAGGGATTATCCGCCATCACTTCACCGCACTTTTTGTGGAACAGAAGGAGTGTCGAGCCGACGTCGCATTTTAATACAATGGGTGCGTCCAGGGCGGCGTGCGATGTGTGCATATTTATTGCTTTTGCCAACAAGCAAGGCAATAGTAAAATCAATCTAGAATCATGTTTGGTACTAAATTTAACGGGCTATTCAATGCTACTACTCAATCGAAGAATGAAAATAACATCTCGTCGCATATTTCAATTTGCTTATTCGTTAATATTTACCAGGTTACCTATTCGGCATTGCTGGCCTGGCAGCAATAATCTCCGAGTTCGCACCAAGTTTTCATATCGATGCGGAAAATGAAATGTCTTTTCTAGATGGCTGTGCAATAAAGCATTCAATTCTACACAGTATAGCACTGTTGAAAAGGATAAATCGGCTATCACTTCTCCGCACTATTTGTGCAACAAAAGGATATTGCACATTTTGCGATGGGAGCGGGGCGCCGCCGGGAAATATGCATGCCAATTAATTGTTTGGTGCCAATAAATAATGGGATAGTGGATTGGTTCTAGAATCGCATCTGGGAACACATTTTACGGGCTATTCAATAATACTGATTATTTGAAGAATGAGCATGATATCTCATCGCAGATTTCATGTGTCCTACTTGTCTTTATTTCGAGGCCCATTGGGCACTGCTGGCTAAACATTCTTCAATTCTTCTATCAATTTCTTATTGGCGTGCACGATAAAATGTCGATTCTAGACAAGCATTAGATACAGCGTTCAATTCTACACAGAATGACATCAGATTCGAGGGATTATCCGCCATCACTTCATCGCACTTTTTGTGGAACAGAAGGAGTGTCGAGCCGACGTCGCATTTTAATATAGGGTGCGTCCAGGGCGGCGCGCGATGTGTGCATATTTATTGCTTTTGCCAACAAGCAAGGCAATAGTAAATTCAATCTAGAATCATGTTTGGTACTAAATTTAACGGGCTATTCAATGCTTCTAATCAATCGAAGAATGAAAATAACATCTCGTCGCAGATTTCAATTTTCTTATTCGTTAATATTTCCCAGGTTACCTATTCGGCATTGCTGGCCTGGCAACAACAATCTTCGAGTTCGCACCAAGTTTTCATATTGATGCGCACAATGAAATGTAGATTCTAGATGGCTGTTCAATAAAATGCTCAATTCTACACACAACATGGCACTACCGAAAAGGATAAATCGGCTATCACTTCTCCGCACTATTTGTGCAACAAAAGGATATTGCACATTTTGCGATGGGAGCGGGGCGCCGCCGGGAAATATGCATGCCAATTAATTGTTTGGTGCCAATAAATAAGGGGATAGTACATTGGTTCTAGAATGGCATCTGGGAACACATTTTACGGGCTATTCAATAATAATGATTATTCGAAGAATGAGCATGATATCTCGTCGCAGATTTCATGTGTCCTACTTGTCTTTATTTAGAGGCCCATTGGGCACTGCTGGCTATACATTCTTCAATTCTTCTATCAATTTCTTATGGACGTGCACGATAAAATGTCGATTCTAGACAAGCATTAGATACAGCGTTCAATTCTACACAGAATGACACCAGATTCGAGGAATTATCCGCCATCACTTCATCGCACTTTTTGTGGAACAGAAGGAGTGTCGAGCCGACGTCGCATTTTAATACAATGGGTGCGTCCAGGGCGGCGTGCGATGTGTGCATATTTATTGCTTTTGCCAACAAGCAAGGCAATAGTAAATTCAATCTAGAATCATGTTTGGTACTAAATTTAACGGGCTATTCAATGCTACTAATCAATCGAAGAATGAAAATAACATCTCGTCGCAATTTTCAATTTGCTTATTCGTTAATATTTCCCAGGTTACCCATTCGGCATTGCTGGCCTGACAACAATAGTCTTCGAGTTCGCACCAAGTTTTCATATCGATGCGGAAAATGAAATGTCTTTTCTAGATGGCTGTGCAATAAAGCATTCAATTCTACACAGTATGGCACTGTTGCAAAGGATAAATCGGCTATCACTTCACCGCAGTATTTGTTGAAAAAAGGATGTTATATAGTTTCGCGAGGGGAATGGGGCCCCGCCACGAACGATGTATGCCGTTCGATTGTTTGCTGCTAATAAACAGGGGAAAAGTATTCTGGTTCTACATATGGAATCACTTCCTAGATTATGTTCTACGGGGTATCAAATGATATATATTAACACATGGTTTCCCGTGTGTAAATGGTTTTAACGCACGACGTGGATGGATTGGAGCACGAGTGTGTTAATGCACGAGTGAAACGAGTGCATTAACGCACAAGTGCTCCATTCCATCCACGAGTGCGTTAAAACCATTTATGCACGGAAACCATGTGTTAAACTAATTAATACATGCTTAACGGTGCGAATTTAAATCAAAATTAAACCTAGCCCATGCCACTAAAAGGGCCTTTTATGGGAATTCTAAGAATAAAGTCAATGACCCTTCCGAAAAACTTCAGTCGAGAAAGTCATCACTGCACGCGCGTGCACCAATTTAAATTGGTGCACGGCTAACTTCGAATTAACGCACGGTTAATCTCCAGTGAACGCACCGTAAAGTATGTATTAATATTAGTTATTCGAAGAACAAAAATGATATACCGTTGAAGATTTTATTTTCCCTACATACCTATAGGAATTCGAACGCTCATAGAGCATTACTTGACAGACCTGCAAATACAAAGCCTGGCCAACAAAGCACCATGAATCTCCAAATAAAGACAAAAAGAAAATGAAGCCTGCGACCAGATACCATTCTCATTCTTGTAATAATTAGCATCATTGAATAGCTAGCAAAATTTATTCCAGGACACAATTCTACATACCAATTATTGTTATGCTTGTTGGCAAGAAACATCAGTCGGCATATATTCGCACGCGGGACCCGCCAGGCTCCCGTCACGAAAATATGCGACATCTTATTGTTTCACAGAAGTGCGGAGGAGTTCCATCATATTTTTCCTTTTTAATAACATTATACTGCGTAGAAATTAGTGCTTTATCGACCAGCTGTCTAGAATCGACATTTTATTTTGCACGTCAATAGGAAAACTTGATACTGAAACTCAAAGTTTATTGTTGTCAGGCCCAGCAATGCCGAATGAGCCGCGAACTATGAACAAGAAAGTTGAAGGCTGCAACAAAACAGCGTTCTTGTTCTTCGAATAATAAATAGCATTAGATAGTTCAACAAATTTAGTATCATGCATGATTCTAGATTCAATTTATCGTTCCCTTTCTTCTTGGCAAAAGCAACAAATCTGCACACAGTACACGCCGCTCTGAAAGGCTCCCATTCATTGCGTTAATATGCAATGACGGCCCTTCTGTTCCACAAAACGTGCGATTAAACTATGTGGGATTATCCCTTATTTTTAGTGTCATTTTGTGCAGAATTGAACGCTTTATCAACAGCTTGTCAAAAATCGACATTTTATCGTGCATGTCGATAACAAAATTAACCCATTAGTGCCCAACTTATTTTTAGTCAAAATTTCAAACTTTTTTGCACAAAATACTAGCTTCTTTATCGAGTGTATTAGCTTAGGATGATTTTCTTGTTTTTTATCCCCCCCAATTTGTCGCCAGGGGGGTCAATAAATATATGGCTATGGGCACCTGGGTAGTCGAAATATTGCCACAAAGCGCAATTCAAAAGAAACTTTTGAGAACCAATGTATATTCTTAGATGTGTATGCTGATAGGCACTTGCCACTACCAACATGTGAACATATTATGAGATCAGGCGAATGATCGTGATGATTGATAGTGTCAGCGGTCAACAATCAATTACGATGATGAGTCAATGCACTACCTGACTCACAAACATCGAAGTGCATTGGACAGTGACACAGCTTACAGCAAACGCTGAAAACAAAACATCCCTCCGGGATCTAGACGGCGCTTGCAAACTTTCACCCATCTCACCGTATCCAACAGTGTTGGCCCAACTAGCCCAAATTTCCCCATGGTGTACAGCATGTTCTTACTCTCAGGTCGCATGGAACGGCACGAAGCACGCCACGCACAGCGGCACCTGGCACTTGCGACAGGCGGTCTTCGGGTGGCTCTTGCACTTTCCCTCCTTGTTTGCACACGTTCCCTGCTTGGCAAGAGGAACGACCAGGTGGTTGATACCATCGTAGCGGATGCTGGCTGGGACGCGATGCTGACTCGACGCGGAACTTGGACGTCCAGATGGTGGCTTCGTCGTCTCTGCCAGGTGATACCGGACGATGGCTCGGATGAAGTTGATCTGATTCTCGCCTGGATGATGCTGACGGTAGAGCAGCCAGGCGTTCTGCATCGCGGCCCCCAGAAGCCAGCAGAAGATGCACCACCAGAACTTCTTCTGTCGGATCGCGATGCGGTACGCGCCGATGTTCTGGTCCATGCGGTCGGTACCGCCCATGGCGCAGTTGTAGTCCTGAATCATCTGTGGCTGAGCTACCTTGATCCTCTTCTTCTCTCGTCGCGACCATCTTTGAACTTCAGCCACAGTTCGGGACGAGCTTACCGTAGATGCTACGGTCACCACGCTGTTATCCTTCCACCTGACGAGGTTGATGCCCTGCTTCGTTTCCACGGCGACAGAGGTGTCTCCCCTGGGAGCCTTCTTCATCGCTGCCACCGAGCTCAGCGGACATCCTCGGAGGCGGTTCTGGCGGATGGTTCCCGTGTGCCCGATTCCCTCCTCCTTCAGCGCCATCATCAGAGGAAGGCTGGTGAAGAGGTTGTCCGTAAAGATGTGCAGTGCGTCCATGCGCATCTCCTTCGGCATTCTGTCTATGAGGATCTTCACTGCTGATCCACATTTCCCGAAGGCGGCCTCATAGTCTGGACGCTGAGCAGTTCCGCTGGCACCTTGGTACACTTCGAAGGTCAGTAGATACCCATCTGGGCTGTTAAGGCACCACGCCTTGAACCCAAACCGTATGGGCTTCCCTCTCAGGAACTGTTTGCACCCGTGACGGCCATAGTAGGGAATCATGCTCTCATCCACGTCCAGTTCTGTGGAAGATGGCGATCTCTGAAAAGCTCGCAAGAACTTGTCTTGCATGCTGTTGAAGAGAGGTCGCAGCTTGGCCATCTTGTCACTGGGGTCGAGACGCTGGTTGTCAGCGAAGTGGAGGACCGAAAGGATGTCGTCAAAGCGGTTCCTCGAGATGATCCGGGAGACGAATTCCACGTGCAGGTCAGGGTCTGTCGACCAGAAGGCCCGGCGGTTCGGCACGTTGTGGTATCCCGAGAAGTACAGGATCGCCATGACAGCCTTCAGCTCGGCGATGGAGGGCTCCTGGACATTCTTCCCTCTCCACTGGATATATCGGCGTGTCTCCTGAAGGAGTTGCGCATAGAACTCGTCATCCAAGAAGAAGCTCAGTACTTCAACGGGTGTCTTGTTCGAAAAGTTCACCTGTGGGTATGGGCAAGCTTCCTCTCGCTCCTTCAGAAATGAAGCGACCTCTCGTTTGCCCCACCTGTGGCTGGTTGGGGCGACCGATTCAGCAGCTTCGTCGTCAGAACCGTCCTCTTGGCCGACGAGTTCAGCATCTGCTTGCAGCAGGTTGCGGTTGAGGTTGTCGATGGTACCGCCTCCGTCCTCGTCTCCCGAGTCGGCGTCGCTGTCCTCACGCACGTTAGGAGGACACAGGAAGACAGTGGCCGGACTCTCGCCACTCTCATCAACTTCATCCAGGAGATCAATCAGCTTTCCAAACCTGGAAAATGATAGCAGACTGCAACGCACATTTTCGACCACCCAAACGCCCATGGCCATAAATATATTGACCCGTACAGAAGAGCGTCATGCTGCGGCAAATCTTCAACGAGGCTATTTTATTCGTTTCAGGGGTCTTAAGGGCAGTTCAAAGAAACATGTCTGTGAAATTTATTGAATTAGAACAGCTAAATAACTAAATACACTCACCGGCGTTTTTTCGGCATGTTGACGTAGTTTCGCGACTGTCAAGCAGAACAGAGAAAATGGCGCAGCAGCAGCAACCGCACATCAAGTCCTTTAAAAATGCTTATTTATATATGGGGCGTATATACTTTCATGAAAAACACCCACACTTTTGAGGAAAAAATTCATAAATTTGCGAAATATATATATGGCTATGGGCACTAATGGGTTAATATAAACGTAGATCTGGCTAGCGATGCTAATCGACCTCCAAGTAAAGATAGTGGGGAAAATGAAATATGCGACGAGGTATCCTCAATCCTCATTCTTCGAATAATTATTATCATTGAATAGCCCGTAAAATCTTTTCCCGGATGTGATTTTAAAACCAATATATTCTTCCGTTGGTTGTTGGCAAAAAACAATCTATCATGGGGTTCACGTCGTTCTGCGTTCACGGCCACGCCCCGCTCTCATCGGGGAAATATGCAGCATGACTTTGTTCCACAATTAGCGCCGTGAAGTGATCATAGCAGATTTTCCCTATTAATAGCGCCATACTGTGAAGAATTGAACACTAGGTATCGGACACCTTTCTTGATCTAGAATCGTTCGTTGCATTGTGCGTGTCAACATGAAACTTGACATAGGTAACTCGAAGTTTATTGTTATCAGGCCCAGCAATGCAGAATGAGCCGTGAACACTGAGCTATGAACGAGTAAGGAAATTGAAATCTGTGACGAGATGTTATTTTGATGTTTCGAATACCTAATAAGTAGGTGCCAGCGCATGGCCCGTTAAATTTAGTACCGGACACGATTCCAGATTCAAATTGTTATTGCTCTGCTTCTTGGCAAAAGCAATAAGTCTGCACACATCATAGGCCACAGTGTACGCTCCCATTGCTTAACCCGCGCCCTGCTGGGGGGTGTTTGAACACCCCCCTTGTGGTTTTTCGCGAATATCTCAAAAACGGCGGCGCCGTTTTTGGTACACCTTATTATACATCAATTCTACACATGTTGTGAAAATTTCAGACCACGGTCATTCAAGGTCAGGTCACAAGGTCACTTGAAGTGACCTCACCTCATAAAAAGTTTCAATGTCTGTCATAGCTACACCGAGTGACCGATCTGAAACTTTCAGCGATTGCTAAGAGCAATAGCATGTACAAAATGTATATCTCAGAATTTTGATATCGATGACCTAAGGTCAGGTCAATTTTGCGACCTCCCCATTATAAGTCAATGGGAGAAAATTGAAATGCGCCTCTTTTGGACGAAAGACATTATAAACACTCCCAACCACTGAATTACAAGTGGTTTAGACACACTGAACATTAAAATGGTGTCCGTGACCCCTGTTTATGCCCTGAGGTCATCTTAGGTCACGAATGGTATCTAACAGTTTTTCGCAAATAACTTTTGATAGAGGCATGCTAGAGCGATGAAAACGCCTTAGATGTGTTCAGCTTGACGATACGGATCGACTGATATGCAACATGAACTTTCCGGTCAGGTCATGACCTTGACCTGAGGTCAAATTTTCAAGTTGACCTTTCAAGGTCAAGTTATAGTTCATTCGATGCGTCTTGACGAGAGGAACACGATGCCGGTAAAAGTAAGCTCGTACAAGGCTTGGGTCAAAAGTTATTGCAGAAAGACTGTTTCCGAAAAAATCGGCTATCTTTGCAGTTTTTGCCCTCTGCAGGCAAAACCATTGACGTTAGGTCAAATCTGAGAAAATTATTCAGAAAGGGCGTTAATAGGACTATCGAATGCGCTTTTCCGCGGCGCTGTAGCTCTATTGGTTCCCGAGTTATGCGTTGGCTTCTTGAAAATTGTCGACATTCGACCTGGAAATCGGCGAAATTTTGCCTTCAATGACCTCTGGTGACCTGACCTTTGACCTGACCAAAAAATTGACCGAAGTGATTTCCTCATTATTTTTGACGCTCTTTCGAACACCGCCTTCCGCGTATCGCTACGTGGCCCAGGAGCCGAGTTAGAAGGGGGGTGTTCAAACACCCCCCCCAGCAGGGCGTGGAAATCCAGGACCCCCAGCCGGGCGCGGGATAACCACGGTGACTATGCTATAGCATGCAATGTCGGCTGGACATTCTTTCTGTTACACAAAAAGTGCGATGAAGTGATGGCGGATAATCTCTTGAATTTAGTGTCATTCTGTGTAAAATTAAACGCTGTATCGAATGCTAGTCTAGAATCATATGTCAATGATGTCTGTCAATGCAAAATTGCACTGCAAACTTGAATTTTCTCGTGGGACCGGCCGCCGGCGGGCCGAGCGTCACGTGACCCCAATCTCAGGAGCCGGTCAAGGTCACATGGCCTGAGTACAGTTAGTAGTTCCCAGATTCGCCGCCAGAGTAGCGCCACTTGCAACGGAGCAAAAGAATGCTATATTGCGCGGTAGACTTTTAAAATGAACTTGAATATTTCTTCTTTGCCGACAGAACCCCAATGTCCCCGCTTGTATTGTCCTTGGACCCTAACGCGTGTTTTTTCATCAGCGACAGGGGAAATCCTTCATAATTGCTACCAGATTACTACCATATTCCCTCGCATTTCTGTTGCGCATTGCCTCACAAATCAGAGTTTTGTGAAGTTTATATTAATTTAATTGTCATATTTTGACTGATTTTGGCGATTTTCAATTATTTCAACGCAGCATGGATCAGATAGCTCTCATAGTTTGCTGAAGAATGTGGCTTTTGCCTGGTTATTTTCAAGTTATCTGTGATTTGGTGCGCCGTGATCGTAGCATTATACAAATTATATCAACTTTAAAAATTGAATCAACTTTTGAAGTGAAGTTCACATGAAAAATCAAAAGTTCAAGCATAATAATTGTTTAAACATAATGATGCAACATGTGTCTCCCAGATGGAACTTATATTTCAATTGAAAACTGAAAATGGAAAACAGAAGATGGATCTGCGGAGTTACTGAGATCACAAGGAACTCTTGATTGTTGGTAATTGAAGATGTTGAGAGAACTTGTGAATCTGCATACCAGTCCTGACTTGCTTGATTGTTTAAAACTATTTTAATTCTCATAATTGTGTAATGTGTAGTGCCTGTGCACACTGCGCAGCACATGTGCGCAGAAATGTGCAGGTGGCTGGTAGGTGGGTTAAACTTCGGAGATGCAAATTTGGATGTCAGTTATAAAATTAATGGTTATGCCTTGTAGAGTAAGCTCTGCTGTTTTTTTTGTCATTGTCTTTTATAATTGTAACCTACAATGCTGTTAGTTTCATTTTTATTAAAATGCTCGACCAGAATTTGCACTTGTTCATGCATGAATGGCTAAGTTTGGGGTGTTTATTCAGCCCTGACTGCTCAAGTTTTTCAAAGGCACATGACACAGCACGGCTAGATCAGCTGGTACCTACCTGTTGACTATTTTTGTTTTTGGTGGTGATGTGTTTGCTGTTTGTCTTTTGCAAGGTGGTCAATGAAATAAAATAATGCATTATTTTGGAATGTTTCCTTGACAGAAGCCAGGAGCCGGGTTGATGTGTGCTGGTGAATGAGATGGTTCAAAAGCATTATCTGATGTTTTTCAATGTGCATAAGCCATAACATCCCTTTCATACGCTGAAGTTTTAATAGCTTCTCAGTCTCTGTCATTTTCCTGAAATATTGGTGTAGATAAGAGATATCAGTACCTTCTCAGAGGTACCTGCCTTCTGCTGGATGAATATTTAATTGGTTGGACGAAATGGACAGGTAGCCTTATGATAATGTAATGTGAAATCTTATTTCTATAAAACTTTGAAAATGAAGCTCTAATTATTCATATGTGCATATGTTACAGGCAAAGTGAAAACTCGGGCATTTTGCAAAATGCCTAGGCAATTTGCAAAATGCCTGACCCGCCAGGCATTTTGCAAAATGCCCAGGCAGTTTGCAAACTGCCTGACCCACCAGGCATTTTGCAAACTGCCTAGGCATTTTACAAAATGCCTGACCCACCAGGCATTTTGCAAAATGCCTGGGTTTCCATATATTCCACCGTTTTTGTTGACTACAGCCGTTGATCATAAACGTTCCACTGTGACTGACCCCACAACACATTTCACATGTGTTGTGTTCACATTGACACATTCATAGGCGTCGCCAGAGATTTTCGGTTGGGGGGGCAAAATCAACTTTTGTGTTAAATCTTGCCTTTCCCCAGTCGTTACTCACTCGTTTTACATATCGTTCGACGCGCAATGGTGCGAATAATTCCATGGTGACAAAGTTTTCCTTCTAGCTATGACATGCAACTTTTTTTACAGAGAAATTCGAAATTTTCAAATTTCTGGACAAAAACGACCGGTAGAATTACAGTGGCTGCGTTGCCGACGCACTGCAGAGGGACCTTGTGCAGACTCTCGTCGCTCATGATCATTACCCAGAAAAAGGTGACAAACGCTCCATTTAATCCGATCACCCTGCTAAAACCTCCATTCACGCATGCATGCAGAGGTTTTACGTGAAATGCATAGGGCTTATCCAAGCCGCCGATTGTAGCGAAGTTGGGCATTCGCCGGAGACTGAGAGTGAATCTCGGAAGTGTGAATCGGAAATAATTCATCTTTGCTCCAGTGAGAGGAAGTGTTTTGTTCACTCGAGTCAAACGTGAACAAAAAATGTTTAACGGAACCAAACGCTACGCACGGCATAGCGGCAAGGGATCCCTTAGAGATAGGCTTGGGACTTCCAAGCCATTTCAGGCCACTCATGATCAGTGTGGACTCTCAGAAGCCTGCTTAGGACACCTGAGATCGGCGTGGGTCATCCCAAATATTTACGTGTATGTGGTGCTTTGGGGCTTTCCGAGCCCAAGGTGGGACTCACAGAAGCCAGTGTAGTCGGCGGGCGCTAAGAGACTGGGTCCAGGGTAAGCCTGGAGCCCTCGGATAACAGTGTGAACCGTCGGGGTCTGTGTCGAATCCCTTAACCCGCGACCGCCTGGGGGGGTCGGATCCGACCCCCCCTCCGTTTTTCTTGAATAACTTATGAACCGCTTACGCTATCGACTTGAAACTTGGCATACCTTCTCCCCCATCAATTTGACGTCTCCTGTGCAATTTTTGAGAAAAAATTTCCAAATTTTTTTAGATATAACCGAAGGTTTGTTGTCAATAGTTAAAACACTATTCTTTAGAATTGT